TGCAGCAGAGGGCGCCATCACACGGGCAGTGTGCATGGTGAGGGTGAGCCGGGTGCAGCAGAGGGCGCCATCATGCGGGACCATCAGTGTGGGCAGTGTATGTGGCGAGGGTGAGCTGGGTGTGGGCAGAGGGCCATCATGTGGGCAGTGTGTGTGGCGAGGGTGAGCTGGGCGTGGGCATGGGCAAAGGGCGGAATGAAGAGCTGGAGTCCCCTCCCGCGCGTTCCTACTAGCCCCACCCGTGCAGATGCACGCTGCCCCCTTCCCCTCTGTGTGAGGTCTAGGAACAGGAGAACAACACAGGAAGGCCACCCCGTTTCCCTCAGCAGAGCTAAGGCAGGGTGGGATTCTCAAGCAGGATTTTACTAAACCCCAAGGAAACCCAGAAGTAAAGGTAGAGGAACCCTGAGCACACTGAGCCCCACGATGCCTGAGCCCCGCTTTGTTGCTCCTGGCCCCTGCCCCTTCCGGTCTTTGGCCCTTCGTTCCAGGGCAGGGCGAGCTGGCGCCGCCATCCGTTAGCCTCTAATTTAGAGTCTAGCTCGGGGCCCAGCTGACAGCAGGGGCCCAGGACAAGCCTGGTGAATAAAGGAGGCGGCAAGTGGAACAGGCTGCCTGTTCCTGGGGCGAACAAAGAAGCGCTCACCCCCTCTGTAAACATTACTCAGAAAGCCCAGGCCAGACCGAGAAGAGAAGAATGGAAATGCCAACCCCAACGTGCTCCTGCGGTGGGGCACTTTTCTGTAGTTAAAGGGAGTGAACTAGATTGACATCAACAGGTCTCAAAAATTACCCTGCTGAGTGACAGAAACAAATGACAGATGTGTATAATGACACGCTATTTATGTAAAACAAATCACACAGCGCACTATGTGTTTACGGTGACGCGTGAGAACAATGAAAGAAAACAAGGTCTGAAAGGAGACCCCCAAATCTTAACAGTCAGGACCCCTGGGGGCAAGAATAGGGATAGGACTGGGGAGCTGGGGATGGGGATGGCTCAGAGGAACTTCGCTCCTGTGCTATTCTAATTTTTCAGGAAGAGTGGACTCAGGTATTAATTGTTGTGAGCTGTCGACGAGTTGATCCCGACTCAAGGCAACCCTATGTGTGCAGAGTAGAACTGCTCCACAGGGTCTTCAAGGCTGTGACCTTTCAGAAACAGATCACCAGGCCTGTCTTCAAGGCACCTCTGGGTGGGTTCAAACTGCCAACTTTTGGGCTAGTAACTGAGTTTTTAATGGTTTGTGCCACTCAAGGACTCCCAGGTAATAATTACACAATTTAAAACTAATTTAAGAAGGGGAAGAACCATCTGGTCGGGACAGGTGTGGGCCCCTGCCAGCTCCTGCCAGCCCCTCCCCCAACTGGGCCAGTGTCCTCACTCGTAGGAGGGTGCCTGTCAGTCCCAGTGTTCCAGGAACCACCCTGCACCCACCTACACCGCGCCCACACCGAGCCCTCGCCGTCTACTTGCCATTCTGTCCTCGAAGGTCTTGACCATGATGCCGTCGGGCAGTGAGGTAGCCAGCAGTGCCATCTCCTTCCGGACCGTGCTGAAGAACTTCTTGGCTTCTGGAGGCTGGAACTCAATTTTCTTAAAAGAGTGATTTGCTGGAATGGGGAAGAGAGGGGCTGGTCACTCCTGGAGGGCCCCAGGAGCTCTGTGTGGAGAAGCGGCTGCTGCCCTTGGGAACCCGGTCTGGGCGAACAGCTGCTGTACGTCTCCAGACAGGTGAGTCCACCCACCTACTTCCCACCCGCTCCTCCCGGCATCGGCATCGGGAGAGGTCCCGGGCAGCAGGGCCAACTCACAGGGGGCGAACTCCAGCACGGAGAAGACCTCGCCCTTGGCGCTGGTGAAGGTGACGCCCGGCTTGCCGCCACACTGCTGGCAGAGCACCGGGGTCTCGCTGGGCCACTCCGCCTTCACTGGAGACTGCCCCTCGGGCTTGTCCTCCTTGCGCTCCGCGTCGGGCGCCGCCTCCATCTTCTCTTCCTCAGCAATCGCCACGTTGTCCAGGGTCTTCTTGAGGTTTTCCTGCAGCTTCTTGATGTCATCCAGAAACTTCTTCTCCCGCGTCGGCTTCTCCGGCTCCACTGTGGGGGAGGTGGGCGAGCCCGTCAGGAGCTGCTCCACCGTCATGTTCTTCAGGCTCTCCAGGATCTTGATGGCCTCCTTCAGCTCCCGGAAGCTCTTTGGGGGCCCTTCCTTGCCCGCCTTCTCCATCAGCCCCGCCATGGGGGTGGCCATGGCCACAGCCCCTTGGATGGCGGCCGTGGCGGCCTCTTCACTGATGACCACGCCCTTGTCCTCCTCAGGGACGGCTGGTGGCTCAGCGGCAGGGATGGGGGGCTCCTCGATCTTGGGGTGTTCATCCTCCACCAGCCCATTGTCCGTCTCCCAGCTGTCGCTGTCGTCCTCCCACTCGTCTGAGGACGCCCCGCTGGTGCTGCCTTCCACCGAGTCATAGTCGGATTCCTCCATCTCGGACTCGATGTTGTACAGGTGCTGGGGGGAGAGGCACAAAGGAGGTGCAGACGTGGGGGCACCACGGGGGGCTCCTGATCCTCACAGCTGATGACCGGGCTCACTGAGGCCCTGGCAACCCCATCCTCCCTTTCCTGCTCTGGACCTTGTGGCTTGAACCTCTTGGCGCCAGCTGGGTCCCTCGATCCATGGGAGTCAGCCTTCACCTGCCCCACCACCACCCACAGGAGCAGCGCCCAGCCTCCCCCGCCTCTGTGCCTGTGGTCAGTATCCCGGGCTGAGGGTCCCAAGGGGAGACCTTGTCAAATCCAGCCCCACCCGAGGGCTCAGACCACTGCCACAGTGACGAGGGCAGAACATGTGACAGGAAGGGTTGGAGGGGGGAGAGCCAGCCTGTGCCGTACCCCGTCTGGTTCCCTGGAATGGCCTACTAGACGAGGGGAGAGCCCCCACCACCACGTTGGCTGGCGCCGCCAAAGGAGAGCTCGGGGCAGAATGGTCCCAAGCACACCAGCAGAGCCCGAATCAGTCAGCCTTCTCCTGTCTCTGCCTTAGCTGTTAATGTTTTCCTAGCAGTGTTGGTGGGAAAATCACCGTCTCCCCTAAGGAGTAATTTGCATTTGCTTAGTGCAGTGAGATAGGAATCCAGACAACATGGAGGTCTGTGGAAATCCACACACCCTGGTGAGCTGGAGAACCTGTTGGGTGAGGCCGGCTGTGGATGTGCCATGGTTCCCCTGGCTGCCCTGACCTGGGGCCGCATGAGTAACAGCTGCCCTCCTCACATGCTTGCTCTAAGATCTCCGAGACCCTTCTATAGGAAGGCTCCTGTTGGTAAGGTCCGCCAGCGGATCCTGTCCATTCCCGGAGAGGCGATGGGACATGGGCACTCTTCGGGCCCTGGCAGAACCTCACCTGGGGCAGGATGATGGTCTTTGAGTTGTCAGCCCACACCACCTCCACCTTGCTGCTGACGTCCACACGGGCCACCTGACCCACCGATGGCTGCAGGGCAAACAGGACAGTCAAGGGCACGGCTCTCCAGGAGGGGCGAAGGCTAGACTTCGGGGAAAGGGAGCCCAGCCAGCAGTGGGCGGCAGGGGACAAGACCAGGAGCAGTGAAGAAAAGTGGGCACCAGCCCGAGAATGGGAGTAACTAAGGCCAGGGACAACCTGGCTGTGGCAGCCCTGCTCATACCTCCCAGCTCACCGTCCAGGGACAACCTGGCTGTGGCAGCCCTGCTCA